AAAAGATAATAGAAACACACGGCCTATATCTGTCGCTAATAAACTTTTGTACATTTTATAAACGTATCATTTCCATTGAAAAGCATCAAAAGTAGATTATCTTCGTACGAAGAGAAGGGAATGTGTCACAAGTGTCTCCCGATGCAATCTCTTTCGAATCTCCGTAGATCGAAGAAGCGTAGGAAGAAGAGCGCGAGGAAACAGAAACGGACAACTGCAGGAAGGGGAGGAAGGGAAGAACCCTAGGGATGTTGACGGGAGAGAAAACGTAACGCGAGAATGTGCGCGCAGTCGCTTGCCTGGAATTAAGGCTCAGCGGGAATGAAGGATGGAGGACGAAGAATGAGGATAGGAATGGTCCAACTGGCAAGGGCGAGGTGGGGGAGGGGGGAGGGGGGGGTAAGAGGGGGCACCGGTAGAGAATGCCAGAAGACGAGACGATCGTTCTCCGCTGATGGATGGAATCGAGCATCCCCAATGGCGTCGATACTCGTCGACGCGCTTTGTCTTCGTTACAACGACGTCCTGCGTCGCGAGCTGTTCGCAGCGATGGATAGAACCATGTCGATGTCGCCGCCAATGATCACGCGCGGGTAAGAACGTGTCCAGTTTTTCACGATGGTACAAGTGTCGCCTGACACCATTGCCCGCCCCCCCCCACCCCTCCCGAGGGGTGGGGGAGGCGAAAACCACATTCATGAGCGCTATCCGCGCCGAAGAGGTCTGCCTGACATGCCTCTAGGCTGAACGAGGATGACTTTCGGTGATGCGTGCGTCACACAGTTCTAGCTGTTTGCCTCGCGGCAACGGATTTCCGACGATATCATCGAGCCGAGCATACTAAGTCTAACCTTACGGCCACGAGAACACGTTAATTCGAAATCATGAAATATCCCGTCCCAACGAACGGCGGTCCGAGATGAGGCGCTCATCAGAGCGCCGGCGAGTATCAAGACGGCAAGGCTTCGGATTATGATTACGTTACGATTGTCGGTTATTAGTTATGTGCGACGAGTGTTATACCCGGCGGCTTCCAGGAAGCCTCTGTCTCCGAAAGTCCCGGTCTACAATCCAATCGGACCGCCTTTTGCGCCTTCGTCAAAGAGCTTAATAGAGTTTATTGTTTTACGACCCAATTATAGATTACTTTTACGAGGCGACTGCCCCCGACCGTGTATACAGACTGATCGTACGTCTCTAACGAATCTAACGAAAAAGCCTCACAAATTTCCCTCCCCCTTCGCGCTCCCCCTTCTCCATCCCTTTTATCACCATTAACTTCTTTCTCGATCCTTCCTCGCTACAAATTTTACCCTCCCTCCTTTGCACTTCCCTTTTTTTTTATCTTGCTTCACCTCACGTTCCTTTCTCTCTTCAATCCACCGATCCTTCCGATCTACGCATAGTTATTCAAATTTTTTTATTTTCCTCGCGCCTTTGTATCCAGCCTGTATTTCTATCGAATTTCGCGCACCAATCGTTCTGTCTGCGCCTATGGAATTTGTGCTTGTAACGGTGTGAAAATCTTCCGCTGCTACCGCCAGAGGATCTTTCAAGTTTCTTCTAAAGGGACAACGCTCGGTTCCATCAACGCATCTGTTCCCGAAAGGAGCCGAGCACGGCACAGCGATGTTATCGGCGAAGGAGTTGAGGGAGAAAGAGAGATTTCGTAGTTTCACCACGTTTTCGGTTTTCATGCGGTTGAAAGCAAAAGGAAAGGGGATCCTTATGCGGCTGGTCTTCTATTCGTCTCCTTCTTTCTCGGGGACTGTCGTCGGGACGTGCACCGGAAACCCTGCACGGGCCACGGGAGTTTTATCTCAAATGCATCTGACACCCGCGCCTTGTTCTCCACTTGCACGAGGCGTATCCACCAAAATGTGCGCGCATCTTGCACGTACACGCGTACGTCTCTCATCTTCTCTCTTCACGGCGGACAGGTCGGGGTCACGACAACTTGCCTCTGGCCGGTTTTTCTGAAAGACAAAGGTGTGACTAGCTTAGACCGAAAATTGAACTTCACCTCCGCAATTTTATACTGACTTTAAAAAATTACTCGCGTATTCTTTCGCGTATCTCTTAGGAAATCGAAACGTAGATGCAATTTATATATACATTGTAATTTATAATATTTATAATTTGATTGTATTCATCCACAATATGCTTTTTAATGCGCGCGCCACATTGCGAACATTACAAACATTACATTGCCCTCAAATTCGAGAGAAGAATTACACCGTAGCTCACCAATAAGAAACGTCCACAAACGTTAATTCTCTACGGGATGTGGAAGAATAAAGAGATTTTACTACGATGGTCAGCGGTGAACGTCGGTTTTATCAGCAAGAGGGTGTCGAAAAGATAGACATCGCTCGAGAATATGGTAACCAAAGCGAGATCACCGCCACTGATTGAGATAAGATCTTACCAGCTCCGGCAATACAGATCATTTACAGTTGATCGAAGATTGTTGCGGATACCTTTTGCGCTGTCCCCTCCGGTATCGTATTCTGTATAGACGCAATTAGATTCGTCGACAGTCGGCGCCGACAAAAGAACGATTTTGGGTCAAACCGTACGAAGAAAGAGACAATTTCGAAAGGCCGAACTGATCTTCGCACGTGTAAATCTATCGTCAACGGTTCGATATACCTGTAACACAGGTGTTTAACATAGGAATCTAGCGAAAATAGGAAACAGTTGCATTCCGAAGAATCATAAAAGTAAGAGTATCGTAAAAATGCATAAGGAATTCCGTTCTCCGCTCATGCGATTATAACGACGTGTCGATCATTTATTGTTTATAAATAATACAGAGAAGCCGCGTCATGTATTCACGTCACAAAACCGCTCCTATTAAGTCGGCGCCCGGTTTCGCGCTCAGAAACAGGAAATGCGGCGCGTAAAATACCACCAAGTTGATCCTCTTGCGCGCGTTTAATAGCAGAGATCGACGCGCGGACATTCAGCAGACGCGGCGACGTTCAAAGGAGCGGACGATTCGCGAGCGAGACGAGATCGTTGAGAATGGAGCAAGAAGAAGAAGAAGAAGAACAAAAGAAAAAAGGAGAAAGTGAGACGAGAGAGACAGAGGGAGAGAGAGAGAAAATGTAAGGAAAAGGCGTAAACCAGAAGGTCCTTAGCCGGTACGGAGATCGGCCTTAATTAACTCCAAGTCGACGAGGAAGAGAGCTCGTTTGCTCGGTTAGCGCCGATTGCCGGCGATCCACGAAGACGACGACGACGACGACGACGACTTGGTCGATGACGAGGACGAGTACGAAGACGGAGACGAAGAGAAGACGACGGAGGGAAGAGCGGGGAGCGGGCTCTGGGTGGCCCCTGGGTGGTCAGAGATTCCAGTTTCTCGATAATTGGTCGAGCTGTTTCGACACCCAACCACATCAGGCCACGAGTATGAGGAATAAATCGAATCGCGCGCGAGCTTCTCTTATGGAGACTTCTCCGTCTACCTACAGTAGGGCCTCGAGGGCAAGGGCGAATGGCCGGGGGCAGATGTGCTCGTATGATACCAGAGTGGACAACACTCGGAATGACGCCTACCTACGATCGTTATAGCGCCAGCTTGTTCAAAAGAATGACACAATTAATTTGGGTTCTGACGCTGCCGCGGAGATGCAATTCGTCCGAATCACCGGCTTTATCGAGAAAGAGATTCAGCGGATGTAGGATAAATAAGACCAAAGTCAATTCCCCTTGGCTAGATTTATCTATGTTTTATATAGAAACAACAATATATATCGTGTATATGTAATATATTATTTATCTTTTATCGTTACTTACCAACGAGAAGGAATTAATAATGTAGAAAAATTGATAATATTAATAAATTAAAAGAGAAGAGAAGAGGAGAGAGAGAGAGAGAGAGAGAGAGAAAGAGAGATTTCATTGATAATCAGATTTGAAGGATCTTTCCAATGACTTCACGACGTCGGCGTCGTCGCATTCGTCACGTGGATCGCGTTCTGATCGAGCCGGCTAACGGAATTGCTCGATAGGTCGTCTCCAGCCGCTTTTAGGGGTGAATTGTTCGAGGGTGGTTCTTCTCAGTGCACTGGTAGCGCAGCTGACTCATCTCCGTCTCGTATACTCGGAGCTGTATCGGTATCACCCCATGCGTTATCGCGTCTCAACTACCCCACAGTCACTCTCTCTCCTTCTGCAACGACCCTACCGTATGTCTAAAGCATTCAGCAAAAGCACGCAAAACTTCGTTCGTCCTCCTTTCCCCGTCTTTCCATTGAACTTGTCGAGGGCGAGTAATGCGTATTTTGCCCACCCAACGATTCAGTGGGGTGACCATGCCACGTTTATTCGTTTGTGAAATTAGTGCTGGTTTTGTCATGTTTAACTGACCGCCAGCGAATAGGGTTCCTTCCGCTTCTCGAACAATCTAGAAGAGACAATCTCTCGTCTCATATGATCAATGATCGTAATTCTTAGTACGACCAACCGTCTCAAATTAGGAAGAACAGTCCCAAATTTTAATTCTTTATCCCACAATTTATAACGCGTTCCAAATTTATCTGAAATTAAAGGTCCGATTATAAACTGTTTCTCTTTTAAGTGTAAAAATATAATAATAAATGTAAAATAATAAATGTGAAATAATAAGTAAAAATAAATAAGTCAAAGTAATAAGTGTGAAATATAATTTTCAACTAATATATGAAGAATTTTATGATTTGATAATATGATTTTTTCACACACACATTTAAAAACTCAGATATTTTTTTCATAAAATATATTCAGTAGAAAAGTACAATTTAAAGAAGTAAAATGTAATCTCGTAACTGGACTCCTAATTTTGGTTGTGATCTCGTATTCTCATGTGATGTTATACATTAAGTATTAGTTATTTATACAAATATACAATAAAATAGTATTGTTTATGTATTTTGTTAACAATTGTTACAAAATGTTCTTCTATTAAAATTTTATTACGTCGGTTAATATTGAATTTTTTTCAATATCCCTCTTTGCCTTCTTAAAAAGTTTGATCACTTTACCGTAATTGATCTTTATGTAGAAAAATCACTCCCGAAGAATTATCTCGTGTCGAAAACGTTTTGTTAACCTATGCCAAAAAAAATTAACGTAATAATTTCAATAAGAAATTTTATTTGTAAATTTAATTTTGTGTTTACTCTATTTTAACTATTGAGAAATCGTGATTTCCATCAATTCAATAAAGTTAAAATTGCTTATATCAGCATCGTGCTTCCGATAAAAAGAATGTTTGGAGAATCTTTTTTTTTTTTTTTCGTGTGCGGAGGTCTTTGCAAATTTCACGGACCGATGTCGTCTCCGTTGAGATCGGCGATCGTGCTGATGACGTGAGTCAATTGTCACGCGAGCCGTGGCTTAATCCAATCGACCGGCGACGCCCTTAATGCCGGATTTTGTCGGGCTAGTTTCTCTTTCTCTTCAACGTTCTCCTCGTTCTTGCCCTTACTCTTGGACGCCGTCAAGCGTGCCGCCAAAAAGTGCGAAAGCTTAATTGGTAAAATTGGATCTTTCACTTGAGTGCTCGCAATCAGATGATCCCCGCAGTTTAGATCGTCGATCATGCAGGGCGCGGCTCAACGTAACCAACGCCGAAGTGTCTCTCAGTCAGTCGTAACGTGCTTTCCAGCTTCTGTGAATTACATAGAAGAGAACAACTATAGATAACTTGACATGTAAGAAAGAGATTGACTTAATCTGTCTCAAAGCGACTCTTATGTCATGCCCGGAAATCATCCGTTTAAAAGTTCACTACAAAAATTAAATGGTCTTTTGGAATATAATAAGATTTCGATATTTTATACTGCTCTTAGACAAACTGTCAAAATTAAGTTAGCGATAAAGCAACAAATATTGGTTCTTATTTATCTTTTGTCATATTTTGTTAATTATTTTATTTTACATAATTCTAATAATAAGAAAATACACAAAGTCTAGAGAATAATATGTCACGCCACGCACATTAACTTAGAACTCACTTCGATTACTATCACATTGATTGCCAAAATGCGAACGTTAACAATGGCATTAGCGTTTATGGATATCTTTTAATTCTGTGCAAACAAATTTTCATTTAGACCATAGAATTTTCAATCGAACATCCGAAACCGCACGACGTTTTTACCCCGCACACATTTCCTCACATTCTCGGATCGAGCAGAACCAGCCAGGCCAGACTATACAGGAGCTAACGATTACACGCGTTTTTGCTTCCGGTCAGGCAACTACTCATAGGATGTTTCACTCGACTGTGCGTTATCTTCCCTTTCAGAAAACACCGAGCACCAGCACGTATGTCCATTCACATGGTCTCGTAAGTACTTACTTTTCTGTCATTAATCGAAACTTGTAACAATTATTTAATTTTATCTATAATTTCTTTCATTCAATTATCATTTAACTTGTAGCTATATAAAAAATAAAACGACGCTTCTCTCTCTCTCTCTCTCTCTCTCTCTCTCTCTCTCTCGATATCCTATTATTTGCAATTACGTATTACGATATTTAGATACTATTCGATTTTTTTTGGAATTATATTATACGGAAAATGTTCACAAATAAAGCAAGTTTGAAAAGATGCCATTTTGGCCTGAAGACATCATTGATAGTCGCAAGACGAGATTCGAGCCATCGCGATTCGTTTTAATTGCGGATCGATTTCGCAGGTTCTGATTACCAACGACGAAATTCATTATCCTTCGCTCTCTATCTTAGCTCATCATCGGGAGACATCGACGTTGTAAATATCGTTTCTTAACTATTCGCATTAGGCGTTTCGACAGCGTACTCTTTTTCCGGCTCCATGGTATTAAATAAATGCGGACTCGCGTAACGAACAAAACTGCGATTTGCGCAGGATATAACAAAATTATTGACTCTCGTAATAAGCGAAGTATAATCAATTTACGCGGAAATCTGAAAATTTCTTACTCTTGACAGGGAGAGGTTGCAACGGAGAAATTTGTGTGCCGAGCAAATCCAACTAATAAAATCAACTTAAAATCTGTCAAGATCATTCCTCTCACAGAAATAGAATAAGGAAAAAAAAATTTATTAATTTAATACTAGCCAATTTAATACTGAAAGAGACAGATATCTAATTACTTATTTGGAGTATGAAAAATATTGAACAATGGTACTCTTAATATTTAAAATAGATAATTAATTATTTTTCGATATTAAATTGGCCGGTATTAAAAAGTCTTTATTTACATCAATAAATTCTATTTTTTTTTATTTAGAAGTATTATCCTGTCGCACATTATCCTCATATCATCCTATTACTTCATTAGACGATCTATCCAATCTAGATTTTATCATAACACAGATGTATAATTACAGTATTCAGTTTAATTATATAATCGTGGGTTTAAGTAGATAAAAATCTCACTAGCTGACTTATCAGATTAAAAAAACCTTTTTGTAACGGTGACGCGATGCGAGCCCGAGCCGTTTTATAACTCGCGAGCAGAAATTTTCCTTGACATTCGACTTGGGACGATCCTGTTAAGAGATACTATCAATTTAAAGTGTCGATGCCAGGACGTTAGGGTAGAAGAGAAGGCGCGGAGCAGCTGTATCAGCCTCACCTGTTGTTTCTCGCCCTAATTATGGCCTGATACCTGGCCATAAAGTGACGATATATGTATAGATAGACGTATACTCGTAAATTCGTAGTAAAATGTGCACGTACTGTTGATGGACAAGATTTATCGACTCGTTTAGCTCTTTTCGCGGGACCACACAAGGAATTAACTATAAGATTAAAGAGACAGTTCCTTAACATCGTTTTTTTTTTTAGCACCTTCCGTTCTTTCATTTCGCCATACTGTTTTCTACGAATTTTAATGAATCTTTTTTTCTTAACATTCTAATTAATATTCTAAGGAATTTCTTGAAATTAAGTGCATCTTGCGTTCGTTATACATACCTACTGTGCCATTCGTGCAATCAACCCGATTGGATTAATTTGCAAGAGTAACAACTTTATATCTTTATATAAACGTCTTTGTTTCTATTCCTCATATCAATTAACCGTTTATGACCAACGTATAGTATTGAAAAAGAGGATTTATCACGATTATGTAGTTATGTAGTGTAGAGAGCGTGAAAATATTTTTATACGTTTTGCTGTTTGTTGAAGATAGCTCAAAAATCAAGCCAAAACATTCATTTCATTGTATTTTAAATAAACGCTGGTTATTAATGACGTTACACACATTGACTATCTGACTCTCATTAATCCTATTTTCTGTATATCATCTCTGTAAAATACTTTATGATCAGTTATCGCTTTGGTATTTATTTTGCTCATTTACGATTAATATGTGCTTCGAATCGTAACATATTTCTTATATTTCCAGTTCCAATTATAAACTCGAGAGTTTTGCAAGGTGCAATGTGTCATTAACGAATGTCTTAAGACGGATATACGTGATTATCTGTGCATTAAAATGCAGTAGTGACGGTGGATAATTCACTGCTTATCGTCTTTCTTTTCCATGTGTAACGTTAAAGGTAGCGCTTTATTATGTATACGCGATCGACAAAAACAAGGAGGGAATAAAATGTCCATCGAGTCCAAGTGTGATGTAGAGCCTCGCGTTAGCGAGCAACATTGTAGATCATCCATCGATTAGTATCTCACTTTCGTACCGAGAAAACGATGCGGTAGGCATCTTATCCGTAGCCGATCTTTACGCACAGCGCTTAGCGGATAACTACGTATCATCAAAGTGCAGCGATTCTAATTATATTCCTAAAACTCTTTATCTCCGTTTCTATTATCTGCTGACGCATTGGTAATGACACACTTTGCAACACGTGCGCTAATAAATGCGACTGCTTACAGATAATGTATTCGAGCATCGATTCGTTGTTATAGCTCAGATCTCGCGTTTCTTACGCGTATCAATTGTATAAAAGCAGAAATTTTTCTGGCATTCGAAAAAAAAAATGTTCTCTTAAGAATATGAAGGTATTTTCAGTTTAAGATGAAATCTTAGTTTGAGTTTTTTTAATTAAATTATTAAAAAAGAAGGGAAAACCGCTCACACATTTGTAAAGCAAAACACAATATAATGTTGTTTATATTTATTAAAGAAATTACTTTACACATTTACTCTGAATCTTGCTCATCTTTTGGTCTTATTTCTATATTTGTTGTGTTCTTCAATTAAATTATAAATGCCGATAATATGAATAATAGCGATTTATCTTTCTTGCGTACATGTATCGTTGATACATATTATATTGATACATATTATATTAACAATTACAATAAGAGATTATGGGCAACGTATCGATAATAATATTAATATTCAGGTATATCCGTCGTTTCAACCTTTTGTCCAATACATTCTCAATCCATCCACGCAGCCGCACCAACGTGTATAATTACGAAATCCAAGTTAAACGGTCCAGTTCATAACTCGCTCGCTTATCATTTTTTTTCTCGCGGCAAAGCAAACGAGCGATTAAACGTTGACTAACGATAAGGGAAGAAGAGAGAACGTACGCCGTGCGGCTTCGTTCGTAGCCATCGTTGTCGAGTAAGCATATCGAGATGTCCGTTTGCTGTTCGATAACGCAGATGGTCGCGCGATCATCGGATAACTCTACGACGACTATGAAATCGCAGTTCACACGTTTCTCAAGGTCCTCGCACCCGCATATCCTTCAGCAGAAATAAAGGATAAGAACTAATCATTCGCACGCCGCGCGAGACCGATGTCGCGCGTGCGTACTACCTGAATAAATACGTACCCGTACTCCGCGAGCGTGGAGCTCTTAAAGATATTAATCGTGCATGTCGGTGCTTTGCATAATTTTGTAATGCATCCCGTCAACGGTCGATAGCATCTTTCGCACGGCGCGGCGCGGCGCGGACTTACCGCAGGAAAACGCACGTGGGTGTTTTATATGTATATGCGAAATCGTTTCCACGTAGCCACGAACGACCAGCTTGTAAATCTCTGTTGAAACTACCGAGGCTTGGTCGCGTCGCGTCGCGAGTTAATATTCTAGATAAAGCGTGAAACCTCATAGTCGTAAGAATGTAACGTTCGCGAGTTTTTCTTTTTTTGGCAATCGTGTAAAAGGAATGAAGAGGCGAGAAAGACACATTTATAGAGGGATGGGATACAGATGTGAATTCGACGTTCATTTCCAGTACACGATATTACGCTGTACAATACAAATCTTGCCGTGAGAGAAAACATCGTCCGGCGCTGTGAGTCGATTGACGATCTATTTCTCTAACGACGGCAGATGACCTCATCTTTGCCTGCCGATAGCCGATCCGCTGAAAAACCAGCGTCGCCTTACGCGGTTAGTATCCTTTTTCAGTCGACTCCTTAATTGCTCCGCTTCTAAAGATCAGTTGCTTCCATGAGTCGCACGCGCGCATCGTCGATAATAAAGTGCTCGCTGGAATAATAATCGACCACACAAAGGATCCATTATTCAGACGACAGAGAGATCTCAGAGAGCGAGCGAGAGAGCGAGCGAGCGAGCGAGCGAGAGAGAGAGAGAGAGAGAGAGAGAGAGAGAGAGAGAGAGAGAGAGAGAGGACAGGAGACACAGTCTGTCGATAATCGATGCCGCCATATTCAGCAAACAAGTTGTTCCGATCGCAGCGCTTGACAAAAATAATTCCGACAGCGAATTTATTGCGGGAATACACCATCGTGTGGGGTTCAATGCGCGGGGCCCTCTCATTGCATCGGGCCGCGGCGTGGGCCCGATGATGGGCCCACTGATGACAGCTCACACAGCGGACTGGTCTCATTAGGCCCACGCGCGATTTCAACCTGGTTCAGCAACGCAACAGCAACGTAACGCCGCGTGTAATTTTAAGCGGAATTTTCTTCGTTTTCCTGAGACGTCTCGTTATTTCAATTTTAATTGTCAGGGAGAAGAAGAGAGAGAGAGAAATAATGAAAATTATCATTATTTTTTTTATCGCACATACGTCTTTTCAGTGATCGGAGTGTTTATTACCTGAAAAAAATGTAAAGGTTTCAGAGGATATCCTTTTTACTCTTGAAAATCAGAAATTTCCCTGGTGAGATCATAGAAGACGATTTACTTAGCGGAATAGGGTAGTTCACTGATATTATATTGTGAGCTTCCTGTATACAAGTACAGTATTATATGTATAGGTTCCGCAGTTCCAGTTGTAGAAAATCATTCTTATAGAATTTCTGTTTTTTTCTTTACTAATTTTTCAATATATACTTTATTTGCGTTATTTGCAATTTATTTCAAAGTTGCATTAAAAAATGCTTTAATTTTACTCGAAATTTGGAACAGATGTACCTGGAAAATTCGAAAATTCTCATAGAATCTTTTTGCAAGATTTTAGTAAAAAAAATATCCCGGTGATATTATTAT